ACAAGTAAGCAATGCACATTTGTAGTTATTCATGTTAACACACATATCGCGCAAGTTTAAATGAATACACTTATGAACTCTTTCCCACTATACGCTATATACCAGCGGTCGGCAATTAAGGTTGACATCGGGCCCAAAAATATTTTTGACAGTAGATGGCGGGCCAGGACACAGTCAATGGATAATTTAAGAAATTAATTGATGAAAAATGCAACTAGAATTGCCTTTGACATACTGTTACAGTGTCTTTTGGAACTGGTTGTGAATTGTTACTCTGTGTTACAGTAAGTCTTGTAGTAGTTTAACAAAAAGCCACATATGTGTGGGGGTGTCCGGGTTTTACACTGTATACATTAATAAAGCACTAATAGTATACATTAATAAGCAGTTACAGGTTTGCTGTCAATTTAAGACCTGACGCACGGATCCGCTATAGACCATTTTGCAAGATGTAAACAACACTGGTCCAGAAGCACTTCCTGTTTCAGTTTTTTAACACTACATAAAAGCTGGGATAAAATACAACCAACAGAAAATATAAAACTGAAATCAAAAAGTTAAACAAACATCTTTAAGATGTTTTCTTTACATGTGAAATAAAGAAAACAGTTACAAATTGAAACAGGAAGTGTTTCTGGACCTTTTTGGTGTTGTTTACATCTTGCAAAATGGTCTATAGTGTTACTTGTGTTTTCTTTCTTAACTGTTTATGTTCACTTAAACCATAATTGACAGTGTTTACGTAAATACGTAAATTTGTGAGTATTTAACTGTTTAAGCGTAATGAGCAGCAAAAAAGCCCTCAATTTAGTACTGAGAGGGAGTACGGTGCACCCAATTTGAGTGAGCACAACATCTGCTGGATTGAGTAAAATTATGCGCAATCCCACGCCGAAATTCAAGCCCTGTAACACCAATGATATTCATCACTAGCAAATGAAACGAGTGCATGAGGGGAAGCGGGTTTGTGTGTCAACTCGCTGTCGAAAAGATGAAAAGGCGAGAAAGCGCAGCTGGTATCATGCTATTCTGCGTAAAATGAGTATTGGAAGCCTTTCATTCAGATATTTAGAAATTCAACCCACCAATGTGGCTATTAAGAGTGACTTCATTACACGCCACTGCTGAAATTCACCTTCATTTGGCAGATTGGCATGTGTCAATGTCAAGCCCTGCACATATATATGTGGTCATTGTATGCTTCATTAATGGTTAGTATAGGACCTTTGGCCTTGTAGAGCCCATTTTTGAGCAGTACATTGCTGAAAGATAAGTCTATGCGTGTTTTTTTTTTTTTCAGATCCTACTTCTGTAAGTGATTTGAGAGTGAATGGATATACTGAGACCAGTATAACTCTGAGCTGGAAGCAGCATGATGTTCAGCAATCCGGTTACTCCTACCTGCTCACCTTCACACACCCCAATGGCACATTTGACCAGAAGACTGTGAGTAACACCACAGTGCAGCTACTGTCACTGCAGTCGGCTAGTCAATACAACATCAGCATTATCACTCAGACGGCAGATGGCACCAAGTCTGTTCCCCAGTTTATAACAGCCTGCAGTAGTAAGTAACTTCACTGCATGAGAGCACAATACTGAGTACATTCTTGCCACTTATCATGCTATCACATCTGCACTACAGTCAGTTGTTATTTGCTTTCCAGAGCCATTTCCGGTTACCATTGTGAGCTACAAGGTCCTGAATGTTTCTGCCGTGTGGCTGAACTGGTCCCATCCTCAGGAGTACCGCGATGGGTTTTCCTACCAAGTATTAGTGTCCAACTGCACAGAAAACCATAGGAACTTGTCTACCACCTCACCCAATATCACCGTACAAGACTTGCAGCCTGGCACCATGTGTCAGTTCAGTCTATATAGTTTGGCCTGCGGCATTCTGGGAGAACCAAAAAACATCTTTGTCCTGACGAGTATGTACTCCCACACACACTCCAAAAAGGAAAATCAAACACAAATACTCCCTTTGATTCAAACAATCTGGTTAATTATTGCTCTTGAAGGGACATTTTACTTCCTCATTCTCTCTCTTTCTCTCCACAGAGCCCTCTACAGTGATTCCCAAACTATATAATGAAGGCTCTAATCACTCAGTCTTGGTGACGTGGGATCATCCTGTTGGTGGCCTGGACCAGTATATTCTGAACATCAGCAGTAATGGATGGAGCAGCTCTATAGTTCTCAATAGCAATGAACACAATCACACCTTCACTCAACTAAAAGCAGCAACTGTATTCATAGTCACACTCATGACGGTCAAAGCAGCCTTCCAGGAAACATCGCTTCCAGTAGCAATGGCAACTTGTGAGTATTCAACCCCAAACCATAGTCTGGAATTCATGCGGCAGACCTTTATATATAAGCATATTGGAGTGCAGTGTTTATAGATTATGATTGTGTATGTTGCAGATCCAAACAGACCGGGAGAGATTAAACATTTGTTTAAGAGCAATCATTCTTTGTTGCTTCAGTGGGCTGAAGCTCAGGATATGACAGTTGGCAGCTTCACCTACAACCTAACCTACTGGTCCAGCTATAACAACAGCTATTTCACTCTCACTCCTAATTACACTTTCCTTTTGGATGGCTTGCAATCTGGAACATTCTATACCGTTTCTGTGACTACTGTAGGACCAATGAATTTCAGCAGTGAATCTGTCAGCTACAATGTAACCACCAGTAAGTTCAACACTTAGTGGTATGGAAAATTATTTAAAAAAATAGTTCTATTTAAATAATGGAATCAATAAGATTTGTTTTTAAAGAAATGAATTAAACAACATTCACATTAGGACACATTAAATTAACAAAAGTGACATTAAAGACTTTTAGAAGATTTTAAGACTTAAAGATTTTGTATTTCAAATACATGCTCTTCTTTTGAAAAGCAGCACAACCGTTTTCAACATTTGTGAAAATAATAAATGTTTCTTGAGAAACACATCAGCATATTAGAATGATTTCTAAAGGATCATGTGTCACTGAAGACTGGCCGTCACAGCAATACATTACATATTAAAATAAATATTTTTTAAAACATAGTCGCATTCTATTTGGCTTGAAACATTGTGAGGGTGAGTAAATATTGACAGTTAAAATTTTGGGTGAACTGTGCCTTTTAGACAGAGGTGCCATTTACATAAAACTATCTCCTCTAAAGTCCTCACCCTACTCTCTGCATCTGTTTTCAGTGCCTAATCCTGTTCAATACCTACAAGTTAATTCCACAAAAACAAATGCCATCTCTCTAGTTTGGGAAAGAGTGGAAGGGGTCCCGAATTATGTAGTGAGAGTGCATTGTAACAAGGTAGAGAGTTACACAACCCCGTCAAACAGCATGACTATAGACCATCTGATGCCTTCAACACACTATAACATCAGTGTCCAGAGCAGCACTTCTGACAAGACGGAGGGAGAAGCCGTGTGGCTGCAAGCATGCACGGGTTAGTACAAACACTATAAACTGTTATATTCTGTGTATATATATACTGTTCTCTTGTGCTGTTTGTGTAGTTTTCTAGCTTGCACAAACATGTCCACTTTACTTATTTTAAGTCATTTTTAACCTCTTTAATCTGGTTCATTAAACATTGTTCTGAATGTCTTAATTAAAAAAAAGTTTAAAGTAGCATTGTCTTTGGTGTGTTTTGCTGTGTACAGATGCAGCACCAGTGGACAATGTGACCTGTACAGGTCCTAATTTAACCTTACCAATGCTCGCCCTCTCATGGAGCCGTCCTGCCGGTGAAAGCCTGGGCTTTGAAATCAAGCTGGTTTCTAAAGAGTTAGAGAACAATCTAACTACAACTACAACCAATCTAAACTACAACTTCACTGGACTCAAACAGTACAACAAACAGTACAGTGCCATGCTCTGGACACTCGGCTGTGGGAAGAATAGCGCAGTGAAGGAGATCTCCTGTATGACCGGCTTCACAAGTAAGGAGAGTTATACCTGTTTCGTATTTTGTTTTTATATGTGTGCATATCACTTATTTCTTGTTTTTCTGTGTTTGTAGGACCTGTTGTACCTAAAGTGACAGCAGTGAGTGTCTCTGAGCTACAATATAACAAGTTTACTTTGAATCTTCATCAAGATATCTTTAATGACACGAATGGTTCTGTGTCCCATTATGGTGTGCTTGTCTCCTCCGGCACAGATGGTATGTCTAATAAACCTGAGACTTTTATGTGTCTTCTTTTGTAATTCTCTAAGATCCATTGATGGCTTATTGTAGCATTTAACTCAGTAAAATACTACTTTATTAGTTGTCTTTAATAATTGGGTAGGATTTTTAAAATGTTTTTGAAAGTCTCTTATGCTCACCAAGAATGCATTTATTTGATCAAACTAGAGTTTAAACAGTAATGTTGTGAATAATAATAATAATTATTTATTCTATTTTCTATTTTAATAGATTTTAAAATGTTATTTATTCCTGTGATGTCAAAGCTGAATTTTCAACATCACTACTCGGTATTTCAGACGAGACCACTTTGGCCACGTCATCTAAATTTTCAATTTGAATACTCTACACTTACTATTACTATTCTTTTTAGATGTATAATATATAATAATAATATGAAAGTATATTTAAAAAAAGAGGAGTTAGATTGTAATCATTGTGCACTAAATATGAGTTTTGCCTCTTGCAGCCTGCTGGGTAAAGACTGAGAAGTTGGATCAATGCCAGTTTAACACCTATGAGGACTGGAAAGCAAAGCGGTGCAACACATTTCTGGCTGTTGTCAAAAAAACAACAGAGTCTAAAAGTATGCAGGACCAAACAATCATCATTGGAGATGAAACTATGTGGAATAGTTACAAAAATGGAGAACTAAATGCCAAAGGCATTTACAGGTAAATCAATATACTTCCCATACTTTGTATTAACTTCAGTGCTGCGTAGATTACAACTCATTATAGCAATGTTACGGTTATTTCCATTACTAAACTAAACTGAACTACTGTACTTTGTTCCTAATGCTTCCTGATGCTGCCTCTATCTTTGATGAATCACACAGCGTTGTTATGTCTTCTCCATTATGTCGTCATGTGTTTGGCTTTCTTGCAGTGTTGCTGTCATCGTTTTCACACATTTGGAGTTAAATAACAGTTTAGTGGATGTGTCTAATTCATTCTACTCCATATCTGAGTTTAGTCCCATCACTCTGCCAGAGAACCCAGGTAACTACTGGGAGACTTTCTGTCAATATTTATAGCACTTACTTCATTGCACCTGCATTTTCACAGTAACACGTCCCTCCTAATGTCACATGAAAATTATTGACGTGTGTACTGTATAACAAACACATTTACATTAAGGACAAATATTTAGATGAGATTACTGGGGTTCCCAGACTTTTGTGGTCACATATTTTTAGCTTTTAAAAATCTGGCATTGTTATGAATACCAACACTCATTTTTGTCCAATTTTACTTTTTTTACATTGTAAGAAGAACTGTGCAAAAAATGTGCTCCTGAATGATTTGTTACTTACCCTGTGTTTAATGAGTGGACATGGCCTGTGTGTAACAACTATGCAAGGTTTTGGGTAGTCATACACTTTTTCACAGTGTATATATAAATTCTATCAAATTTGATCAATTCCATTAAGTTTTATTTTTGTTGACTTTTTTGACTGAATTGTTTTGTCATTCTCCACCGTTCAGTGGTAATTGTAGGAGCAGCTGCAGGAACTGGTGGTGCTGCTGTTGTTCTTGTAATCATCATTGTGGTTGTGGTTTGTAGACGGTAAGACATTTTAAAGATCTCATGCATGATTCTTGATGTTTGGAGAGTTTAAAGGTTTGATTTAGAGTGTTTGATATTCTAGATTTAGAGGAATAGATCATCCCCACCCCAAACAAAATCTGACATCATTTACTCCCCTTCAATTTGTTTCAAATCCATATGAATTTCTTTATTTTCCTGAACACAAAGTAAGATATTTTGAAGAATGTCAACAACTAAACGTGTTTAGTTTAAATTGATGGGCCCTAAACTAAACAGTATTTTTCCCCATACTATGGAAGTCAATGGGATCCATCAACTGTTTGGTTACCCATATTCTTCAAAATATTTTGTGTGTGTGTGTTCAGCTGAAGAAAGAAATTCATACAGGTTTGGAACAATTGAGGGTGAGTAAATGATGACAGAATTGTTATTTTTGGACAAACTACCCCTTTAAGATTACCTTAGCATGTGCCCACACAGTAATGCTAGATTACAGTGTTCCTTAAGTCTGTTTTATGTATTAATGGACAGTGGCAACTACATAATCATATTTATGCTCTCTATATCTCAGGAAGCAAAGAAAAGATGATTCCATTAGTGTTCCCATCCACTCTATAAGGTCAGTATACTGGTCTCCTCAAAACAACACAATACATACTGGAAACAAACAATAGAAAAAGTAATACATATCAATCCACAAAAATGTAACCTTTAATTTTTGTTTTGTTTTCTTACAGAAACAAAGTGTAAGTAATCATATATGTTTGTTCACTCTTCATTCATGATTTGACTGAATGTTTTTGCTACAAGTCTGTGATTTTTGGAGATGGGGGGGGGGGATTGTGTCTCATAATAGCAATTGAAAATAAGCCATTTTTCTGTAACATTTATGTTCATATATTATTGTTTTTACACATGGTGTCTTATTTTATCACGTTATTTAATGGTTTCACAGGAGTGATCCAATAAAGGTGGAGGATTATGAGGCTTATTACAAGAAGCAAAGGGCTGATTCCTTCTGTGGATTTGCTGAAGAATTTGAGGTGATTATATCTTTGGTTTCTTTGTAGATTTACAAATGATCAACCTTAATAATAAATAATGACTGGCATTGCAAGTATTGCAACTAGATTTCCATTTTCCATTATTTTTGGTAGCAATATCTGATTGGTTTGATCATGACAATGTTTTGTTCCTCTTCATTGCTTTAACAAATGCTTTATGACAGATGTTTACTTATTTATGCGAATGTAGCAAAATCAAATGATACAGAAAATAAATGTATGTGTGTGTGGTTGTAGGATCTAAGGCCGGTTGGGATAAATCAGTTGAAGACTGTTGCTCTGGCCCCTGAAAACAAAGCCAAGAATCGTTATAACAATGTGCTGCCATGTAAGATCTTCACCACTCACGAGTGTTTACCTTCACCTGTCCTTCGGATGAGACGTTAAACCGAGGTCCTGACTCTGTGGTCATTAAAAATTGGCCTTTATCAATCATGGCCTCCTAATAATATTACCCATGCTTTCAATTGTCTCTCTCTCTCTCCTCTCTCTCCACCTCCACCTATAGCTAGTGTGTTCTTGTTGTGAGTGCACTGGCGCACAGTTATTCTGTGGATGTCAATGATGCACACTAGTGGTGGTTGAGGAGAGACCCCTGACATGATTGTAAAGCACTTTAGGTGTATAGTATAGTAGTAGCCTACATAGTAAAGTGGTATATAAATACCACATTCATTTCATGACTTACCACAAGACACTAAGTTCCCTCCACATCTAGTCTGTTCTGTACATATTTATAATGGTTCATGTCTTCTCTACAGATGATTCATCTCGTGTCAAGCTCTCCGTGCTTGGCAACTCATTTGATGACTACATCAATGCCAGCTACATGCCGGTAGGAAAAACTACAACAACAACAACAACAAAAAAAAACATGAGCTATTTACACATTTTTCATACTAACTGTGTGATATTTCCAGGGCTACACATCAAAGAAAGAGTTTATCGCAGCCCAAGGGCCACTGCCCTGCACTGTCAATGACTTTTGGAGGCTGATTTGGGAGAAAAATGTGCAAACCATTGTCATGCTCACCAAATGCAACGAGCAGGGAAGGGTACAGTATACATTCATGCTTCACTTTATCTGTGATCTCACCTGCCAGAGCCTTCATTTCACGTTTCAGTCAATTTTATTGTCAGATTAGGATAGATGTCTTCATCATACATGCATGCCTAAATCACTTGACCACTGCATATTCAATGTTCATATCCTCTTTCAGATTTTTTTTCTAATTTAAGTATTGAACTTAAGGAGCTTAAATAGATGTTGCCACCATGTTCTGTCCCTCTCAGGTAAAATGTGAGGAATACTGGCCAGCAGATATAAAACATTTTAACAATCTGACAGTGATGACTACTTCTGAGATTTCATTGGAGGACTGGACTTTACGGGACTTTGAAGTGAAAAATGTAAGTCTATATTAATATTACAGATGGACTCAGGCTACTGTAACACTAAATGACACAGACCCATGTGTTACACAAACACATTTTTGTCACTGTTGTTTTATTTTGTTTTATTATTCCTAGAAAGTCACAATTATCTTAATTGGCATCATGTTTGTAATATATCTTAATTGTGTAACATTATGCCTCATGTACTGTAAAGTACTGTGTTGATGTTTTGGGATAAATGATTTTTGTCGTGACAGGTGAAAACAGCAGAGTCTCGATCAGTTCGTCACTTCCATTTCACTGCATGGCCAGACCATGGAGTTCCTGAGACCACTGAGCTTCTCATCAACTTCAGACACCTGGTCCGAGAACACATGGACCAGTACTCGAGACATTCACCCACACTTGTGCACTGCAGGTACTTGAACAGTTCCCGAACTCTAAAATGTACAAACAAGTCTACTCAACACTGTTTTATTATTATACTCCTGCATAGAAAGTCATTTTCTGCAAACCTTTTGTTTTCGCAATGCAGTGCCGGTGTGGGCCGGACGGGAACCTTCATCGCCATTGATCGGTTAATCTTTCAGATTGAGCGGGATGGTGTAGTGGATGTATATGGGATCATCCACGATTTACGCATGCACAGACCACTCATGGTGCAAACTGAGGTACATTCATTAACACATTTTTTCATGTCACTGCACTGATTGTATGTTCTTTTATCCACTTTATTCTTAACGAAATAGCGTGGGTGCGGCCATTGTAACTTGAATGTGTTGAGACATCCGGTCTCATCTGCTTCCGGTTATTATCGCTGTAAACTGTCCGTTTTGCTGCTTGATATTGCAAACTCTAACTTATCATATTATTTTAATTGATTATTACACAGAAAATAGCTTAACTCTGCATGGAAAAATATCTTTAACAAATAATCATCAACTATGAAATTTCAATGGCTGTTTTGTAAGCCATAATCAGGATCTCATTCTCTAACAGTGCAGGCCTTTCCATTCTCTACTTTTGCAGGATCAATATGTGTTTCTTAACCAGTGCTCCATGGACATCATCAAGTCTCGGACTGGAAACAATGTAGATTTGATCTACCAAAACACAGCTGCACTCTCCATTTATGAGAACTTTGAGCCCTTGAAAAAACCCAAAAATGGCTACCATAAGGCTTGACCGTCTACCTTGAACAGTTCGCTGCACTGCTGTAAATGAAACGTTTTTCTTTCATTTTTTAAGTTGTTTTATTTAAAGAGGAAAAAACAAATATATTTATTAAAAAGTTTGTTTATAAAGGTATATATTATACTCAGAAATATATATATATGTTTTTATTAAATGCAGAAATGTAGCGGCAGGGATGTTTTGTAAGAGTTTTCATAAAATAAAGTTCAATTCCGTAATATGGCATCATAAAAATGGCATTTCCTCAGACAATATGTGAAAAGAAGATGAGCACGAATAGAAATATAGAATGTACACATCACATAGGACTTCATCATTAGACAGTAACAGTGTATTTCTACTTCACTGCAGCTGTAGTAAAGACAGGATGGGTTTTCAAAACCTTTCTTCTGTGATAGCAGCTAAGCTTGGTATTAGACAGTAGGCTGGTAAATAGTTTACAATGTGCTGTGACTTCATTGAGGTATGCTGAAGGTTGTATCTGAGCTATTGTGCCAGTATGCTGTTCTTTGGTTTGTGGCTTCAATATATCTATGATTTCTGGATTTGACAGGCCAAAAGTTGACCTTATTGGACCAAAAGGACAATACGTTAGCAATGAACAGTGGAAATCTCTTTGGTTTGTTTCTGGAATTGCTTATTCTCAGTAAAGATACTTGCTGACCTGTCTGTTCCTGGATTGTAAATGTTTTTGTTTTCCTTTTAGAATCAGGTCAGTTTAGAATAGTCCTATTGACAACTTATTGCAAAAGGGTTTTAACAGAGTGTGACTCTGTAACATGTGTATGCACTTATTGTTATATTTGTACATAATATATTTTGTTCAAACTGAATTTTCAAACTATTTTTTTCAGTGTTGTTCAGGGACATTTGGCTTGTGTGGTTTTAATATTCTGCAATTTTCAGCACAATTTTAAAAAAAATTTAATGATTGTTTATTGATACTCTGCTGGTCACAGTAAAGAACCATTCAGACAACTCTGTATTATATTAGGATTAAAAAAAGCTGCACTTTATTTCACACTTCTGTGGTGATTTGTGTGTGTTGGGGGGTGGTTCAGGATTTCTCTCGTCAAATAATTCAGTCTTGGTATTATAGATTTTGATGTGGTGTTTTATTAAAAGAAAAAGATAATTATATTTAATCAAACGACTACATTCATAATTAGTATTTATTTATACATAAACATAAATTTGTCAAGTAATCTGTGTAATTTACTGTACGTATTATTAGATATGAATGATTTGTTCAAATAATAACAATAGACATTATTGCACTCTATCCATCTGGACAGTCTCTGCTTCGTGATCGGTAACCCCTTGGGGCGACTGCCGAAGCAAACAAAGCTGTTCTGACTGCCTCACAATTTGATGAAAGCCTCACATTTTTCAGAAAGCCTCGGTTTCCCATCAAAATACAGAAGGAGAGATTTTAGAGAGAGAGTTTAGAGTGACAGAAAATGATAGCCTTTAGTTTTTTACGATTTGTTTGATTTAAAAAAAAAAAAAGGTCTAATTTCATGTTCCAAATATAAATTCATGTTTTATGCCTTCATTTGATTGCCAGAAAATGTAAAATACACAACACAGAATTTCTGAAAGAAAGAAAAAATCACAGGTTTCAACTGTTTGATGGACTGCATAATTTACATTTGGATTTGGTAGAATTTCTAATGAATTCTTTTTCAAATGGTTACAGGGATCTAAAAATGTCCTGGTGACATTATTTTGGGTTTATTGACCTGGAATGGGAACATAACCCGGGAAGAAAAGAAATGGCACTTTTTAAAGTTAAATGCATCTATCTGGTACACTTTGAGTGAGAGGAAAAGTTCTTTACTCTGAACTGTTTCAATTTTAATAGTAGTAGTAATAATCATGATAACAATCATTGATAATATCTACGACAGATATATTACTAGTGAATTGCAATGTAAGTAAGAAAACATGTGTATGCCTTAATTCCTTTACTTGCAAGAGTTTACTTTTCTGTGGCAACAGGTTTACAAACGTTACATTTTATTCAGCAAATTCAATTGTTTTTATAGGACATATGTGACCAAAGTGTCATAAAAAACCGAGGTATGAGAGCAATAGGCTATTTAATCTCTCTATTAAAATGTCTCCGTGAAATGCTCTGCGACCTTTACTAACGAACAGGATTTTCAACCACGAACTCTTGACATCGAGTAACCTACAGTGTGTTCTCTCGGGTAGACACGACTAGTGTCCGTTTATTTGGAATTCGTTTTCCGTTTACAGTAGGTTTCCTAGTCAGTCACGCCTTCAGTGTTCACGACACAGAGAGAGGAGGAGGAATTTCCTCGACGTTATCCACAACAAAATGGCGAGGATTTTTAGCACTTACCGGTAATACACTTATATACGTTTACACTTTTATTTTTCTTATTAAACCCGGTTACTTGTGTTTGTCACAACATTTGTAGTCGGTCAGTTTAAACCAAGTCATAAGGTAGCCTAAATATATGGTAACTTAGCCTAGTATTGTGCGGAGATGAAAAGCCTGCAGATTTGTATAGTATTGTAACGTTAAATCTTTATACCATTATGTTTATATAAATAATAATTATAATATTTTTTATTATATTATATTTTAACCATATGGACCCCCCCTTTCCCCACCGGAGTGAGTCAGAACTTCAGCGAAACTGATAGACTTTAACCTGTTGAGAGATGAAGACTGGTCGAAGTAGTGGGGTAAAGTTAGTTTTAGGTTCGATATTCACCAGACATTCGTTTTTCCATGACACTGCTCTATGTCAATACCAAAATTACTTAGTCAATCAATTAATGTCGACATGAAATATTCGTTAAAAATAACCTTACGTGCATTATAGCTGCATATTGTGTACTGTACGTACAGTAAGGGAGGTATTGTCAAAATTTCACCTGTAGTAAGTCAGTCAGGTCTCTAGGAACGTACTACAACCTTTGAAACATGAAAAAAAAACACTTTAGGTGAATAACAGTATTATTTTCATATTAATATTTGTGTACTGTACACAGTAAGGGAGATATTGTCAAAATTTCATCTAGTAAGTCAGTCAGGTCTCTAGGAACGTACTACAACCTTTGAAACATGAAAAAACACTTTAGGTGAATAACAGTACTATTTTCATATTAATATTTGTGTACTGTACGTACAGTATAGGAGGTATTGTTCAAATTTCACATGTAGTAAGTCAGTATGTAATTACTACAAGCTTTGAAACATGAAAAAAAAAAACACTTCAAGTGAATTATTTTTATTTTGATTAAAAAAATATGTGTGTACTGTACAGTAAGACAGGTATTGGCAAAATCTCATCTGCAGAAAGCCAGGGTCGTCACTAGAAAAAACTAACACCATTATTGTACTTCGGTTTGCACTGTGAGCTGAATTTGCAGACGGTCCCTAAAGCAGCATAATGTGAATATGCAGCGAATATCGAACCTAAAACTAACTTTACCTCACTGGTCGAAGTTCATGTCGTCAGTCGTCGCGCTTATAGGTTTAACCTTTCCCTCACATGAAATTATGCTTTGTCACTTGTTCTACTGCTGGATGAAGCCGTTAAGCGTTTATATTTTTCGTACTAGTTAAATCGTCAGGAGGGACGCATACGCTGGAGCAGATGCTCTTATTTTACCAGTTTGAGGTGGAGATCGAGTGGAAGGAGAACAGTCGCTTCGGGGAATGCAAACCTAGAGCTGATATTTAATAATTTGGATGATGGAACCTGCAGCGAAGCAGAAAGTGATTTACATCACCTACCTCATCGCAGCTCTGGACGTCACATGGCTCTTTCTCCAGTTCTCCATAACACCGGTACGTATAGGGTCTTTGGCTTTTTCGACTTCATTCAGAGTCACGTGTTAAATTAAACCACATTTGAGTTAATCTTTAGGTTTTGTTTTGGTCTGTTCATTTAGTGATATTTTCACATGACATTGCAGAAAACTATTAATGTAAGTCTTGTGTTAATTCACGTGAACTGATTTTACACTTGCATATATTTCTATATATTTATTTTTATATAATATAATTTATATTATAAATGATAATATAATATATTTATATAATTATATTATATTTATTAAAATTTATTTGTTTTGATACCTTTTTTTTAATTTAATACACTTTATTTTTTGACGCTCAACAACACTATTAAATTCAATAGTTTTGAAGGCTATGCTAATGTGTGTGTGTGTATATATATATATATATATATATATATATATATATATATATATATATATAACATTTATATATGTATTAAATATTTTCAATATGCTATTATTTATTCATCTGCATCACACCCTTGGCATTTTCTTAATTAATTAAAGTCACTTCGGATAAAAGCTGCTGCTACATTAATAAATGTAAATTAAACTTAAAGGCTGTATAGTCAAGTGATGAAAGATGAAAGCTGGTCATGATGTTTGCCCTATTCTAGTCTAATCCAGGCTCTTTCAGCTATTTTGATTTATTCAGCTATTCAGGAGTTATAGCAGATGGGTTGCATTGCATGATCAGTTTTGTCTTCTGTGGAACAGTATTTGGCGAAGAGGCTCGGGTTCGACACTATTTGGTTCGGATATCTGCAGACCACAGTTGGAGTGATTCAGCTGCTTGGAGGCCCTATTTACGGAAGGTAAGAAGATTTCAGATCTGTGTTGTGTTTGTGTTTAGTATGTAATAGTGTTGATACTGTATGTATGTAATTATGTGTGCTTGGTTATTTGTTATAAGCATACAGTTACTTTATCCTATGTAAGTGATTTCTTTTATTCATCATGTCCTTGTGTCTGTTCTCAGGTTTGCAGATGTGTTTGGAGCACGAGCAGCTCTCACTGTGTCTTGCTTGGCATCAGTGGTTTATTTCCTACTGTTGACCGTGGCAGACAGCACTTTTATGCTTTTCATGCACAAACTACCTGCTGTTTTCATGCATGGACTGCCAGGTAAATCATACTCTTACTCTTACACACATGCACGTAACTCAGACACACTCTGTACACACTACACAGGTACATGAGAGCATTTGTATCTGTGTGTGTAGGAGCTCAAATGGTGGTAGCAGATTTGTCAGAGAATGAGAAGCGAGCAGAAGCTCTTGGGAAACTTGGCCTCTGTTTTGGCATTGGCATGATAGCAGGATCAACACTGGGTGGGACCCTCAGCACACGCTTTGGGTAAAACACACTACACCACCTACACTACCATTATAAAGTTGAAGGGTCGTCAAATTTTTAAAAAAGAAGTCTCCTATGTTCACCATTGCTGCATTTATTTGGTGAAAAATACAATAAGAATGTTAAATAACGTTTTTGTATTTTAAAATATTTAAAAAATGTAATTTATTCCTGTGATGGCAAAGCTGATTTTCAGCAGCCATTACACCTATCTTCAGAAATGATTCTCATGTGCTAATTTGGTAATAATCTCAATACATTTATAATTATTATCAGTGCTGGAAATAGTTATGCTTAATATTTTTTGTGGAAACTGTGATACATTTATATTTTTTTGGATTCTTTGATTAATAAAAAATTTCAAAACAACAGCATTTATTTGAAATTTACATTTTTTTGAACAATTTAATGCATCCTTTCTGAATAAACATATTCTTTTTATATTTTTTTATCAAGTCCTATATCAAGTGTATATACAGTATATATATATATATATATATATATATATATTATATATATATATATATATATACACAGTATACAGTATGTGTATACATACAGTATATATATATATATATATATATATACTGTATGTATACATGCCAGCCAACATCTCTTAAAATTCAGCACACCTTCTTAAAATAGTTTTTTTGTTAATATGTATTTACTAAAAATAAGCTCTCCCTGATACTTTGTGTGCTTTTTGTTCACTGGTGCAAAACGTTACCATTTGTACTTTGGAAACACTGTATTCTAAAAAAACAACTAATTATGTTGTTTTATGAAGGCAGCACTGATCCAGTACAACACAATTTAAGTACCAATGATTATGTTTTGTGTGTGTGTGTGTTGCAGGGAAAAGTTTGCAGCATCTTTTGCAGCTATCGGGAGTTTTGTTTCCTTGCTTTTGGTGTTGAACTTCATACCTAAACAGACCAAAATACACACCGCTCCAGAGAGTGAAAGTATGACAAACACAAGACTTACCTAGACACAGAAGAAATACTCTTGCTGTATGTTTTGTAACTTTATTTTATAAAACTCTTGCATATTAATACTTTTTTGTCTTTGTTTAGAGAAGGGACCATCAAAGTCAGTGTTTAATCTGGGGGAGATCACTAGACTGATGAAGTTTCCAGGTGTTGCGAAGACGTTTATAGTGAAGATTATCTCTGGATTGCCATCAGGTGAACATATATATCAACTGTTCCTGTTTGTGTCTTAAACTATAAACTTATTATTCCACACTACACAGTGGAAACATACTTAAATGAAATGAAAATTCACCATCTTCTCCAATCATTTAGTCCACTTAAAGCCAAGGTAGGGAATGGGATTTGCAAAACGGCAGATTTTTGAAAATACACAACTCAAAAGGTCCTACCTTTTTTTTTCTTCCAACGCTGGACGCGCAATCATGCATCTGCAAAACTCAGATGCGCGAGATTGCACTTTTTCCTCTCTCTCTGTACTGGGGCGATTTGCACTTACTGTGACTAGGTCATGAGCTTTAAGTATGTGCACGAATGGGACATGCGCGTGAGGAGGATTTCTGTTTTGAAGTCCAACAAAGTGCATCCATCCATGATAAAAGTGCTCCACTCGGCACTGGGGGGGGGGTTAATAAATGCCTTCTGAAGTGAAACGATGCGTTCGTGTAAGAAAAAAATCCATATTTAAAATTGTATCGACCAAAATAACTAGCTTCCAGCAGACGGCCTACGCAATTAGACTTGCGCCAAAAGAGTAACACTTGACGATGTATGACAGAGGATGTAGGAGTAGCGTACATTTTGATGCCTCTCGCAGTTTAAAAAAACAGGGCTGAGCAACAAACTCAAGCTCCTCCGACATTTCTCTTTAAAAATTGTCGTTTTAGACTTCTAATTCGTGACTGTTGTTTTGTTTTGCTCTATCCTCTGTGCTTCCGCGTACATCATTACGTTGTGCGTCAAGATCAAGTGTTACACTTTTGCCGTAAATCGATGTGTACGTCCGTCTGCCAGAAGCTAGTTATTTTAGTCGAAGTTTCAAATATGGGTATTTTTTAGGGATGCACGATCCACATTTTTTCACTTCCGATCCGATCCCGATACCCGACTTTGGATATCGGCCGATACCGATACTTTTCCGATACCAGACCTGTGTTTGCTTTAACATTATTTATCATTATTGTTGATTTTATATGATGCTGAAATAAACACCTCTCTAGCAAGGATGATACGTACGTATGTAGCCTATGTCAATATATATATATATATATATATATATATATATATATTAAACAATAGATAGACAATTAAACCAAAGATATACGCATTATACAGGCCTACACAGTGCTTTAATTTCAGGAAGGTCTACTAACATTATTCAGGTATATCGTCTAAAAAGAATTATAATAAAGTAATCAAAAGTAAAATAGCACTGCAAAGTTTATCATAGATAGATTTATGCTTATTAAAGCTGAAGTTATTCATTCAAGAGCTGTGAGTGATTTTCTCTTTGCCTTTGGTTGTTTTATTCTCAGTAATGTCGCAATCGTCACATTTATACTGCTGCCCCTTTAAGAACTAGTGCGGATTTCATAGTCTACTGATGCACCATATTTTCTCCCAACTATTTCCATAAACCGTTTATGTCTAAAATGAACGTAGTTAAGTGATAATCTCCAAGCCGGTCGTTTTGACATTTTTGTGCAGGCTACATTTGATCGTTTAGACGCGCATATGAAGCCCAAAGTATAATTTGCTTGTCTGTTTCGGAGCGCGCGCCGCCCTCTTGCGCAAATTTTGTGCTTTTAATAGCTCTTTTTATTATTAAAAGCGTCCCGCAATTTAGCAACAGCAGAGACGGCATTTTACAACAATTACCGATCGTGCTGATTCTGTCTTAAAGTTTGAGTTTTACGGAGAAATGACAGTGCACCGCCGCGATGGGAAGGAAGTTGGCTACACAGAATGCGGCTATTGTTTAATGTTTTTTTTTTACCTCAATATATTCTTTAATCTTTGGAAATCAGACTAATATCACAGATCTAAAGTGTAACCAGGCTATGTTTTCTCTGTCGTCACGTTAAGCAGGGCTGTCGTGTTGTCCGTGCTGTGGCACCGCGTGAGAGATCTCTCTCTCTTTCTCTTCTGGACTGCGAATTGCAAACATGCATCACAGACAAATAGTTTAATTTTCAAACATTGCATTTTGCTGTCTTGCTCTGCTGCGGTGTTTCCAGTGTGAAGTATTTCCACCATAGGATTTCCACACAGCGAACATATTGGTAGCTCAATGCTTTCCTGCTAGCTGGCTGCAAACTGCGGAATGGATTTCTTGAGCGGGCGTCTGTGTGTCTCATTGAGCCCTATTTTTTACAGTCTATGATTGAGCTGCACCTCCGTTCAGGATATCCATTTCACAGTTTGCAGCCAGCTAGCAGACTAGCACACCCGGGGAATCCTTTTGGAGTCATTTCAGCAGCCAACGTTAAAGCGCAGACATGGATCATAAATATCGGATTTCTCCGCAGGTTGGATCGGAAAAATCCGATACGTGAATTACGCTGGTATCGGTCCCGATACCGATACTGGATCGGATCGGCCCCATCCCTAGTATTTTTCTTAAACACAAAATGGTTTAATTTTCATTTTTGTGTGAACTATCCCTTTATGAATTTATGCAACATTTGAATGCAAGCGTGCAGAAGATTGCAAGAAAGGGTTTTTGCATCCTACTGCACGCTTGCATTCAGATTTGCATCCATCCAATCAACAACCAATGAATAGAAATAAGTCCCTGGTCTATAGTTTTTTTTTTTCTCTCTCTTTTGACAATTTTTTTTACCCTTTGTGTGTCACAATATGGAGGTTAAGATCTGTCACTACTTCCATTCCATAATTTTTCTTGTGTTTTGTTTTAAACATTAATGTCTGTTTCAGGTATATTTCAAGTTATGTTCTCCATCATTGCCATAAACTTCTTCGAACTGAAGGCTGAGCAGAATGGCTATCTGATGGCTTACTTTGGCATTGTTCAAATGGTATGATCACATGCACTCTCAATCATATGCCATATAAATAGTTTTGAATGAAAGCTCTGCTGTGCTGTGCTGATTTGCTTTGGTAATTAGTGACTCTTACTGTTAAAGGTGATCCAAGGTGCTGTAATTGGGCGTCTTACATCTAGATTTTCAGAATATACCTTACTTCTGCTCTCTGTTGGGATAAGCAGTGGAGTGGGCCTTGCACAGGTAAACTGATATTGCAAAATCATCCTTCCAGTTCCTTTTTTATTTTTAATTAGTTGCATAACAGTGGTGTCAGTTAACTATGGAATAATTAGTGATGTGTGTATCTCCTTTAAGTGCGTATCTTTAATATATGTTCTTTGTGTGTTTTTCAGGCTATGATGACCAATGTGTTTCAATTTTGTTTAATCGTGATACCGATGATGTTTTCTCTAAGTGTCTTCAATGTCATCACAGATAGCATGTTGACCAAGAGTGTGTCTCCCTCTGACACAGGTAATCTACGCACTCAACTGAATGCCCTTGTGCATATAAATAGTACATATAAATTTACTCAATGCCTGAGGAATCATTTTCCTTGCTAAGGTTTTTATAATGGCAATAAATTTGAAAATTAAAATTTTTAAAAAAATAATATTTTTAGTAAAAGTGCAGTAAGTGATTTCTGAGAAACAAACACACCCCTCCCTTCATTGATCTGCCCCCAAAATGCACGAACACGCATTGCAAGAGGGGATGACTCTTTATCATACAGCAAAGAAAAAAAACAACTTTATTTTTGTGAAAAATAAAGTGAGCATGACGTACGAACGACAAGAAAGAAAAAAAAAGAACATACAGTACACAAGAGTATACAAGCAAGAGTCTGTGTTAGTTGCCAGCAGCACACTAGTTCCAGAAGAACAACGACACTCAAAACTGTCCTGTAACAACAGCATATCTATCTTGGTTCTTCGAATGTACATTACTCGCGTACATTTCAACAACCTGAGCGTACATTTTCAGGCCTTCTCGCTTGGGTCTCTTCAGTTCTGGAAAGCTTTTCTAATATTAACACGGGTCCTGAAACTCTTGCCTGATCATAACCTTTCTTTTTCCAGTGACATTCCTCTGACCTTTTTTTCTTTTGTGATGTCACTCAGCCATCTCTCTTTCTTTAAAACTCCCTCTAGCTCACTCTCTCCTCCCCCACCATGAGTGTATATGCCCCTTACTGCTAATTGGCAACAAGAGTGTGTTGTGGTAAAAGATTTGTGATATACAGGCCACGTTTACACAAAGCCGGGTATTTAGAGAAATTAATATTTTCCCCCTCTCCATTTTCAATAATAACATTGTGCACACACCCGCATAAATACACCATCAAGTGCCATCATATCTATGCCAAACCTATGGGCGGCATTGTAGGGAGAAGTATAAAGCCATGCAAGCCAATCAGAATCCTCAGAATCGACAAGAGAGAACCTAAAACGCCGTTTCTCCCAGTTGACACGACGACACATAACCGGCGTTTTCAGAAATCTCCACTTTGGCCGGAGTTTTTAGAAATAATCGTTTTCTGTGATAAAAACTGCGTTTTCATGTAAATGAGAGGCCAAGCCGCAGGGAAATATCTGCGTTTTCCCTTCGTGTAAACGGGGCCACAGTTTCGATATACACTCATATTACTCATGAATGGGAAAAAGTGCAACATGCAATATGGCAATATAGCCATTCGCTGATTGTTAAAGTCATCGCATCAGTGCAGCTGCTTTTAGAAGCTCCGGTTGCTTTAGACTAGAGAGAGTCGGTGTTCTGAGACGTGCACTTAAGACTGCACATGCACATTGGCTGGTCTAGCCTGAAAAAAAAAAGCTTTTTTATGCTATTTGAGCATAAGAAACATCATTTTTATGACAGATCAAGTTAGATTTTGTTGCTGATTTGAGACATGTTATTTAATTGTGTAAGTTCCAGCAAATTTGGTTGTGGTGCTTGGTGCGATTCACTTTTAACTGCCTTTTCTCAGAAATCAATTACTGGACCTTGAATTAAGCCTTTACACATTTATATTAACAATATATTTAATACAAAAGCAGGCTCTAAAAGTTATAATTAAAGGTGCTCTAAGCAATGTTGGGTGACATCAGTGCTTGTTGACATTCGAAGTACTGTCAAACAAAATGGAGCCCCCATTCTGGAGTTTGTGGAGCCTGTGCTGTCTAGAGACTGCATTTTTTTATAGTGTGTTCAGGGAAAAGGCGGCTAGTGGATAGTGAGATGTGTGACAAAAAAAATTAGAGCAATTTTAATCATCAACTAGTTAAACATTCTTTAAAAAAAAATTCAAGCACTTTCTTTGTGTGGTGTTTGTGTGTATTCAGGAACAATGCTGGGTCTGTGTGCTTCGGTGCAGTCTCTTTTGCGAACTGTGGGGCCAACTATTGGAGGATTCCTCTACGAGACATACGGTGTGCCATCCTTCGGATTTATCCAGTGTGTCATCAATGCTGCTGTCTTTAGCCTTCTGCTTGCCACTGGAGGGCGCTCACAGCCACGTAGACCATAAAAATTGTAAAAAAGTTTTTGAGTATCTGTTTGTGGCCACATTGTGTGAGAGAGGGCTGTTAAAGGACAGCTCCGGCGCAAAATGAACCTTTGGTCTAATTACACATTGTTACCCATTCAACCGTTATCTGAGATTTGTTTTCCTGATTGCTGAATGTAAATAGTTTTATCTCTAAAAACATTTTAGCCTATAACGCTAGTATAACGCTAGTATATGGGGCATAGAGTAATGACAAATAAAAATCGCTTGTTATTACCACTCACAAGGCTCAAAATAGCCCCACACAAACACGACAGCATAATAAGGGTCCCTACATTCAAACCGAAGCATTGAGAACTTTGTCAGTGTCCACACAGTTTAATAAGAAGATATTTTATACATACAGTCAACTTTGCGAATACAGGAAGAAGCCATCTTTGAAAAATAATCTCTACCAGTCGATCTACGAACGTCGATCCAAGTGCGCTGAACTGTGCAGAATCTCGTATGGTCAGTTGTTTCTAGATGAAACACAAACACGAACCGTTTTCTTCTCTTCAATTTGTACACGTAGCCTACTGTTCGCGCTCACCTTATTCACATCTCACCAGCGCACATGGATCGGTGTTCGTAGATCGACTGGTAGAGACTATTTTTCAAAGATGGCTTCTTCCTGTATTCGCGAAGTTGACTGTGTGTATAAAATATCTTCTTATTAAACTGTGTGGACACTGACAAAGTTCTCAATGCTTCAGTTTGAATGTAGGGACCCTTGTTATGCTGTCGTGTTTTGTGGGGCTATTTTGAGCCTTGTTAGTGGTAATAACAAGCGATTTTTACTTGTCATTACTTTATGCCCTATATACTAGCATTATACTAGCGTTATAGGCTAAACAACTGTTTTTAGAGATAAAACTATTTACATTCGGCAATCATGAAAACAAATCTCAGATAACGGTTGACTAGGTAACAATGTGTAATTAGACCAAAAGTTCATTTTGCGCCGGAGTTGTCCTTTAACAAAACACCATGGGCATTTAACTTACCTCCTCAAACAATGGGGAAGAATTTAGTTCAATAAATAACCCAGCTGATATTAGGTTTTGTAAATGCCACAGATTTCAATAGATCTTGTTACTGTCAAATTACTCCTCTTTATATCACACGCTAACTCAGGATTGTCTTTTATGAAGTTTCATATGTTGAAAAGAAGCTGGCATGTAAATGTTTACTGTAGGCCAGTACAAAGCGATGCAGAATGAATGTAACTGTGTACCGTTAGACTCGTTTAAACAATCCCAGATTATACAGTAATTATTTGTAATAATGATGGTGCAGTTTGGAGATATGTCATGAAGGGCAAAATTCAAAATCCATAGGCACCTTAAATGTCGTTGCACCTGAAACTCCAATGTAGTTGTTCATCGGTTCAATGTTCATCTTTGGAACACAAATGAAGATACTTATTACGAAATCTGAGAGCTTTCTGTCACTCCATAGACAGCTACGCAACTGACACTTGGATGCTTCAAAAAGTTAATAAAGAGATCGTAAAACTTAGGCTATCTATGTGAAATGAGCAGTTCAGTCCAAATTTTCTGAAGAGACTCGATTGCTTTATAGGATGAACAGATTTATTTCAGAATTTTATTTTCATACACATCAATCAACCCATGCTTGCTTGATGTTCGAGAACCAATGAGGCTCATTCGCTTGTGTTAGGCTACACAGCAGATGTACACAGGTTTGTCTCCATGTCTCGCATCGCATATCAAGCAGGTTTGGTTTAGCTTCTAATTATGTTTGCTGATATATGTTCATCATATAAAAGTAATAGTCTCTCTTTCGGAAATTTGGACTAAACTGCTCAATTCATATGGGTTTACAATTCATGAATCTCTTTATGGACTAAAGCGTCAAAATGGTAATTGTGTAGATGGTCAATAAATGGACAGAAATCTCTCAGTATATTCATTTGTGTTCTAAGGATGAAAGAAAGTCTTTGGGTAAATGAACTGTTTAAGCAGAATGCACCGGCAGCCTGTTATTTTCATTGCATCTTTTTATTTTCCATATTAAAGTGAATGGTGACCTCTCATTCTGCCTATCTCCTTTTGAGAAGAAAGTAAGTTATGCAGATGTGAAACACGAGGATTAGTAAACAGAATTGTCTTTTTATTGTTTACTATCCTTCTATCACCTCGCAGTTGTTGGATCAATTGGTTTTCATTGTCAATGTATAATAAAATAATATATATATATATATATATATATATATATATATATATATATATATATATATATATATATATATATATTTAAGCCTAATCTTTGGCGTTTTGCAGCAACAGTAAACGGGCATCCCGTTCTCTCTCTCTCTCTGAAGTTGTGGTTATGCATAATGGAGTTTCATTAGCATATATTATGCTAATGCGGGCGAGCGCGCAACGGGTGTTATCTTCAGCACCTGAGATGAGCGCGCGGACACAGGAGAGAGAGAGAGAGAGAGAGCGCGAGCAGCTGCTGCAGTCAGACGGGAATATGCGTCGATAGTGCCCATCGGTGTAAGACTGTGAGGGGAGAATCTCATTCCATTTCAAGTGATTCGCATGAGTCACGAATGGATCCTATTTTAACTCCCGGAAAGAAACTTTTTTTACTCTATTTATTATTCTTTATCTTAATATATCAAGGTAAGTAGCATGACGATGAACTGGTGTGGTCACTTATGCTCTGATATATTGATTAGCCTATTCTTTTAAAGAAAATTTTGATTTAAATTTGGAAAAAAGAAATGTAGAGCCTATTTTTATTATCAAATGAACCAGCTTTTGACTTTTGATGAAAACGCTTCCTCTGGCAGTGAAGGTAGAACTATTATTGAATGGTCAATAGCTTATGCCTAATGCCTAAATTCCTTGTGTCAATGAGTAGGCTAAGAATCTAACAATCTGAATCATTTTTTTAAATAAAAATATATACAATTAATATTTTTAGTATGATGCATAGTTTCCAAACGTTTAATTAAATTGTTTAATACAGACAAGTGTTACACTGACTGAAAAAAAAAGTTAAAAATCCAACTATAAACTTTGGAAAGTGCTGCACTAATGTGATCATTTGTTTCTTTTTAGCAAATCTCACGTGGGGCACTGAAAATCTGAATTTAACACAACAGCATGATTTTGAAAAGTAAGTATTACAATTTAAATGTGCCTATCCGAAAGACCTATGCATGCTGTAGGCTATTTTTAGTTTTCATTTATTATTTAGGCCTATTATTTATTGATTGATTTATTATAACGGGTAAAAACTTTTCTATTACAACCTACATCTATTTACTTGGTATTATAATAAACATTCTGCAAGTTTTGAGCATCTTGAAAATTTGATATCTCGACTCGTGACTTAACTCGCGCTAATTTTACGCATGTTTGATGAAATCAATTGAAAGGTCTTCAGGTCTGTTCTAGTTGTGAAACAGGCCGTCAAAGCTCAGTCGAAACGCCTGTGAGTCTCTGGCTTTTCTGTCGAACACAAGTGCTGATTAGCTGTGTGTGAGGAACAAACCGCTCCTTGTTCTCTGTGTGTCCCAGCAGCAGCGAAAGCAGCAGGATAATGCTGGAGAAATGGGATCCCGCTTCCCAAACGGAGCAGGTAGGAGAGCTGAAGCGATGCATTGAGAGAGCGCACAGGAAACCTGCGCTAAATGCAGTGCCATGAGGTTAAATGCATAACATTACAGAAAACAAGGTGTTTGCAAAAGATGTGCTTTCTTGATCTATGATAAAAGCGAGGTTGTTGAACAAGCTATGAGATTAGCCTACCTGATTCAATAGGATTTATTTTCTAAACTTCAATGAGGTTTAAATGATCAAATATAAAGAAATTTAAAACGTTTTCTACACAAATTCAGCAAAAGCAATTTTCCCCTGGCTCATTTTATTTTTCATTAGCTATGGCTACTGTTTTTCATACGCCTCCCATTCAATAGCAGAGGATGCGAATTATGCACGAATGATGTCTGGGTGCATAAAAAATAACTAAAGAATTAACAACAGCACGATCGAGAATTTTGAGTAGGCTATTAAAAAACATTTTCTAAACACTGCGTCATTATATTTTTTTATTATAAATGTACATGTAGCCTAACATAACATGTGTGTTTTTGTTTTTTTTGTTTGTTTTAAAATTATTTATTTGGTCAATTGCGTCAGGTGCGCACAAAAATCAAATTGTGAACGAGATGGATTGCGCATCGAAAATACATTCTTTGCAGCTTTTCTTTGAAAAGAATTTGACCCCTCTTAAATTCATTGTTTAATTCGCACACAGAAAACACAACCCCTAGTGCTGGCTTTTGGAGATCTTTGGGACAAAAAGTCGTCATTTCGGAGGCAGTAAAGCGGTTTCAGGTGTCCGCTGGGCGCTCAGGATTGGTAAAGCTGGCGCGGCTGTTCCCCAGAGCCGCTATTCACTGAGACACACTGGCCCCGTTCATTATGTCAGAATACATCTCCCTTTACTCCCTCGTAAGCTACATGAAATTATTGAACTCTCAGATATCAAGTGTGATGGGGAGAAGCGGGCAGAATAGAGCTGGTTTCGGTCAGATAAGAAAATGATTTAGTTCTGAAGTGAATCGTTGATCGCTCTCATGCAGCCTACCCCTTCATGCGGTGATAATAAACTCGTATCCATGTTATGCGCAGCACATTCTTGCAGCTTCTGTACAGTCAAGCGAACAATGATTTATTATTAGGAAATTGATTGAAATTTCACATTTGCCTTGTGGCGCCCTGCTTCTTTTTTCCTGATAAATCTAATCTTGGAGGTCTTCATAATCCGATATGAAAACAAATGAATATAGCCTAGCCTATTGGAGATCGTAGGTTTAATTAGTCAACACTGCTAGAGTTACATAAGCTCAATATTTATTTGCTTGTAGCCTAAAAAACGGCCTTTGTAACCTCAAGCTTTAAGAGTTACAATTCTTTCAGTCCAATAGGAGTCTTTCCAAGCCAGTGACCCACGTTTGGGGACCTGCAAAATTGTAAATAAATAATAACAAAATGTTTAAAGCATTAGTTCACCCAAAAATTAAATTATGTTTTTTACGACTCACCCCAATGTCTCCAAGCCCCTAAGACCTTCAGAACA